AGTATCAAGAAATAAGGAAATAATAAAGATCAGAACAGAAATAAACAAACTAAAAAACAATAGAGAAAATCAACAAAACTAGAAGGTGGTTCTTTGAAAAGATTAGTGAAATTGACAAACCACTGGCAAATTTAATAAAGGAAAAGAAAGAGAAGATGAAAATAACATGAATAATAAACAAAAAGGGTGACAATACAAAAGAACCAACTGAATAAAAAGATAACAGAACATTATGAAGAACTGTACTCCAACAAATTTGAGAACCTAGAAGAGATGGACACATTTCTAGAAACACAAGACTTACCTAAACTATCCCAGTTGGAAATAGAATACTTGAACAGACCCATAATAAAAGAAGAAATTGAGCAGGTCATAAAAAACTTCCCACAGAAAAAGTCTTGGCCCAGAAGGCTTCACTGGAGAATTTTACCAAACCTTCAAGGAAAAGTTAACACCTATACTACTCAAACTATTCCAGAACATAGAAAAAGATGGAATACTCCCAAATTCATTTTAAGAAGCAAGCATAACACTGATACCAAAACCAGGGAAAGACACCACTAAAAAGGAAAACTACAGACTAGTATCTCTCCTGAATATAGATGCAAAAATCTTCAACAAAATCCTAGCCAAGAGAATCCAACAACATGTCAAAAATATAATACATCCTGACCAAGTGAAATTCATATCAGGTATGCAAGGATGGTTCAACATTAGAAAAACAATCAATGTAATCCTCCACATAGACAAAACAAAACAAAAGAACCATATGATCATATTAATTGTCACAGAAAAGGCATTTGATAAAATCCAACACCAATCCCTCTTCAGAACTCTCAGAAATAAAGGGATAGAAGGCAAAATCCTCAACATAATAAAGGGCATATATGCAAAGCCAACAGCCAACATTATTGTTAACGGAGAAAGACTCAAAGCAGTCCTCTTGCGAATGGGAACCAGACAGGGATGCCCTCTATCACCAGTTCTATTTAACATAGTATTGGAAGTCTCAGTCAGGGCAATAAGGCAAGAAAGAGAAATAAAAGGCATCCAAATTGGCAAAGAGGAATTAAAGTTATCTCTGTTTGCAGATGA